GCCCGGAATTGCGGGAGGTAGTATGATGTAAGTGAAATTTTTTTTTTGTTGCACTACTTATGATTGCCAGTGTAGAGAAATAGAAGTACCCTGAAGTTTTAATGATTTGTTTATAGAGTCTAAGAATAAAATTACGCAAAAAATCCTTTACGAATATATAAATTTGGGACTTTGATAATAGGATATATGGATTACGCTTTATAAAACAAATTGAATTTATATAAACTTTATTGGAAATGTTTCCAAAAGTCAAAGTAATTATTTGAAATGATTTTTACAAATAGTTTCCAGTTAAGAAAATTAGGAACATATGTAACCTTTTAAAACAAATAGTTTAAATAATGATTTATTTTTCGTGATAAAAAACAAAATGATTAACATATCATAAGTAGATTACTTAGTCCGTTTATCACCTCCACAAAACTACGCACGTATTTGATATAATGTCAAGTCATTAAAATCGATTTTAAAGCCAAAAAATTCACCTAAATACAATATAAAACTGATTTAAAGCACTTAGACAGTCACGGTTGTAACTGTTATCTCGCTCAAACGGTTACTGATTTATAGATGTCTCGCTTGGCATAAAAAACACACTTACTAATCAACTTTAATGCGTAAGTATTTTCTTTAACGTTTTGTTCTGTTTATTATCAATCAAAAAGCTAACTAGATCTCATTATTTACATTCACTATTTATATTAAATTTTCTATTACATACTCTGCTAACATTTATACTTTCTAACTCTTTACATTTTAATAAAATAAACTCATAAATTTCACCAATAAGCCTGTTAAATCCGATCTCAATAATGTTACCCAACACTATTAGCCATGCAATATGGCCTATTAGCCTCAATACCCAAGCCTCAAAATCGTCATCACCATATACGACTACAATCTCTTTTGATAGTTTAAATTTGGGGCACCCTTCATTATCCAACGAACACTCCAAAAAGATCCATTTTTCTGAGTTGGTATGTTTGTTGGCGCCTGATAAAGCTGACTCACACTGTACTGCATTTTGCGCAACACCTTGTACAAGGTCTTTATCCTTAACCTCAATAATACCAACCACTCTGGACGTGTGAATTGAAGTAAAAGCATAATCAACAGGGCCGTGTCCATTGGAACCTAATAAAACAGATCCAATGTTATGTATTAAAAATGTTGAATTCTTGTCGATTACTATCCTAATAATTTGTTGCTTACTTTTTTTATTTACTTCACAATCTTTAATCACTCCTTCCCAATACGTTCGTAAGCTAATTCCATTACGTTCCGATTGTCCCTGTTGCGAGAAAAGTAAGATTAACAGTGAACAAACCTTTGTTTAGAATAGAGGAAAGCACACAGCTTGTATTGCCATTATCAGAACCCAATAATTCTTCTAAGTCAAACCAGGAGTTTCTCAACTTGCTTAGGCTTTTGTGAAAAAAAAAACCATACCTTATTTAAATGTTTTCGTCTAACATATTCTCTTTTTTAGTAAAAAGTGAATGCAACGTTTTGATTAAAGAACATCTAAGAGCATTTAGAAGTTTATTATAACGGACTCATCATAGTAATCAAGCCAATCTATGATGCCAATGTTTAATTGATTCTAATAGGTGTTGTATAGCTTGTGTATTCGAGTAATGGCCTTGGATAGAAGGAAAGAAATCAAAGTAATAATATTAACGGTTTTTATTAAAAAATCAACGATACAATAATTTATTACTGATGAACTAAAGGTTAATAATTTAAAATTCACTTGGTTTATATAAAAAAATTTCCGGCGCGTGATTGTTGTTGCTTACTTTTCGCAGGTGACACAAACCAAAAAGGAAACTAAATTTTGTAAATAAATTTCGTAAATATAGGTGCTTAAGGTCAGAACGTTAGTATTAGGGAGCATAGAGATATATTGTCTCTTACTACATGTAAAGGTTTATTCCTGTCATTTTTAATAAGTGCATTGAGGTCGATTTAAATATTAATTTTCTGGTATTTTTCGTTTCTTTTCTTCTTTTCTTTTTTTCTTTTTTAAAGGAGTTTGTATTACTCTAAATGGCTGTGCTCCTGGGGTAGTTTTGTTTTGTGATTAGTATTAGTTATGACTAATATAATACCGGTAGTACTGTATAATACATACAATATAGTATTTTTCTTTGTATTTTAACGTTAAAAAATCATTATTTATTTATTTTGTTGCTATGGTTAGGGTTAGAATAAACTCATTAGCGTTGGCGCCTTATACATAATAAATCTCGTGAAACCATTTTCACAAATTACACGTCGATCTCCTGATTTTCCGGAATTTTTTTGCGTAATTATTACGAGTGCTTGATAAAAAAACTGATGATCGGGTTCCAACAGAACAAATTTTATGATATTAATCTTACAATTCATTATTAATGCACCTAGTATCACCACCAAAATCATGTACGTAATCGGTTTTTAAATTTCAATCTAAGCACAATAATAACAGAATCACAAGATTTTTGAAAAAAATAATTGAA